AGAATGGGAAGTTTCCAATTTTTTTTTCTTTATAACCATGTGGTTTGTCTTTTGGTTGGAAAGATTCATCGCCATTACAAGCTAGATAACACCCGGTACGGACCGAATAATCACCATCAGTTGTAGGAATCTAGGAGACCATATATGAAGATCTTCTTCAATCTTTGTGGAGAGAAATTTTTTATGAACAAGTTCGCCGTTTTCTGGAGACAAGTGGTGTGATTTAAAGCATTCTCATTTCAGAACCTACGATATTCACTCGGATTCATCGTTTTTTCTTTTCTTTTTTGTGATGCAACAGAAACTAACTAGTAACAACATTCTAATTTCAAAAAGTCAATCTCAATTAATGCTAACTTTTGGCCCATGGGACAAAGATATTGACTATTTTTCTTGACGTGCAAGATCTCATGAATTTGACAAAACCTAAAAAGTCATAAGAACCTTTAAAAAATCTTCCTTCTTTGATTATCTTCTTCTCCAAGCGAAACAAACCGCACCAATTATTAGTGTCTCTATCTTCGCTTACACTTCCCTTTCTACTCTAACACACATTGGTTTACTCTCTGTCCGAAAATTAATCGAACCCTAACCAAAGATTCAAGTAGCTATCATCTGGTACCAATTCCATCTGCCAATTACTTGCGTCCTACGCAATCGTCGAGTCTTGGTGGCTATGATTCTTATCGATACAAAACCGAGGGGAAGAAGCTCTTTTCTTCTAGTGTCTCTGTATTCGAATGTCGTTCTCACACGTGGGAGCAGGCTAGCCTGGGAGTGGACCGAAGCTCCTCCGACACAGCTAGCTTAGTCGATGGGAAGATATATGTTGCAATAGGCTGCAAAGACCTCAATTCCTTGAACTGAATCGAAGTGTTTGATCCAAAAACCCCAAACTTGGTTAAATGTGACGAACCCTAACATCGAGGTACACAAAGAAGAAGATCTTCTTCAATCCTTTACAACAAACTGTTCAACTCAAGACGATTCTATTAGAATCTCCGACAGAGGTAGATAGCCAAACCAACGACAAATATCGACACTTTAGTTTAGGCTCTCACCGAAAAAGAAGCGTTGTCTAAAGTCCCACATCTATAAACTAAAGAACCGTTGGAGTAAACTTGTTAGTATAAAAAGGAAGCTAAGCACAACTTACAATTCATACCTTTCTCGGCCTTTTGGCTAAAGATCAAGTGTAGTATAGGTGCCATCAACCCACACGATATTAACTCTATTTTTTATGGGAGAAAATCCATCAAGATAGCTTGCTATTTGGGCTTTTACGAGTCGTCCATGCGTTACACTACTGCATGGGCTGGCTCAACCCGCCAATTGAACAGTCCAATTTTTTTCCTCCCAACTAGACTCTAATAATCCAAAATTAAAACTATGTTAAATAAATCTATTTACCAAATGATTCACTTAACAGGAGAAAAAGATAAAGAGGTACGAAGATGTTTAGTTTTTCATTTTCATTTGCTTCTCCTCAGGTTACAACCCCTCATCTCACTTCTCTTCGTCTTCTTCACATCCGAAATTGGCACTATCTCGATTTGGAAATCTTCGACGGCGACGATAAGGTTAATGTGATCCGATTTGGTTCAACGTCGCTTTTTCGTGTCCGAAAAGACAACCGTGGTTTGTGGAGATTGGTCTGAAACATACAAGTGAAATTACATAAAGAGAGATTAGAGCACCTCCATCGGGTGGAGTCTCTAGAGACAGTATTTAACAAATTTATTATAGTGTT